TCATAATGATATGGCTGATCGGTGTATTTGCCATTTAAGACACCTGTATATTTGTAAGTGAAATGTGTCTAATTAGACCATATTATTTTCAAAAAAAGAAAAGAAAACATTTTTTGGCTTATATGTTGTCCCCAGTTCACCAACCAGCAGGGGAGGCAGTAGATGAATTTGGAACACTGGAGGAAGAAATCTGAAGAGGAAGTCAGAAGCAGATCCTCATAGAGGCTGCCAGTAAACAGAGACTGGAAACTGATGAGAGAGATTTTCAAAACCTCTACACTGTCGCTCCCATCAGGAAAACAAATCTAAAGACCTCAAATGAAGCTAAGACCAGGCATGATACATAATTCTCCCACATTTTAAAGCTAAAATTCGTTCCTTCATCCCCAGCCATCAAGCAGAAACTGGTTTAATTAAAGGTGAATTTTAAAATCTTCCATGTTTCTGAAAATACATACACACACACGAATTATGTTTCTTCTCAGTCTGTCTTTGTGTGTGCATTAAACAGTGTGTATATCTGTGTGTGTGTGTTTACAGTGTAAGGTCCACAGTCACAGGGCTGAACATCAATCTTCCCTCCTCCCCTGACGACACTTCTGATTTATATGGAGAGGGACCGCAGTGTGTACATGTGCACATACAACACACACAAACACGCGCACACACAGACATACACATCTGTCAGTGACAAACAGCACCATTTAACACCCTGACACTGGAGCTGAGTCTCTCTGGTTCAGTGTCCCAACGCCTGAAACGCTTCACTGCACTTAAGTCCAGCTGCACTGAAAATTCCCAGGATACATTTGAAGAAAGCACTGAACGCCTCGGACAAAGACTGTCTGAGTGCCATATATCCACCTAGTACATAAGACTGAACTATATACTGGAAATCTGCCCTAACATAGTTGGGTGTTTCTGCAACTATGGTCACTCACCCAAATAATTAAAATATTTGATCTTGACCTTGTTTTTCTTGATCTTGGAGGTAACCAACAGATGCACGATGCAACGACCTGTAGATATTCACACTTTGTTTGCAAGGGCAACGTGCTATTTTTTTGTTCAAGCTGAGAACCAACTTTCTGGGATCCAAATCAATTTATTTTAGGTCAAAATGCTCCCAAATGGTTCAAAACTAGATGCCCCAACCAGAATGCAGCCCTGTTAGTGAAAAAGGCCTACTATACTGTTTTTCCACCACATTGGCTCTAGTTGTTGAACTGGTTCTGTTTAAGACTCTTGGAAACCACATGTCAACCACTTTTGAGTGGAACCATTGTTATCAAGGTAGTGTTATCAACAGAGGACGTTGCACAATGCAGAATATGATACGCCTACTTTGGTTCCCAAACAAAACCATCTATTTTTTGGTTCCAGCTGGGTTCCGAATCAATTTATTTTTAGAAATTCTCAGGACAGTTCAAAACTAGCTGCCCAAACCAGAAAGGAGCCAGTTCCCTATTGCAGGCCTACAAGTAAAGGTGACCCAACCTGTCATCCATTTGCTCACGTCCTAACTTGACGAATACTTTCACTATGGCATTTTGTTCAATGTTGTGGTAAGGATGCAGAAGTAAGGGACAGGCAAATTTTGATGGAAAAATCATATAAATGACCACTGGACAAAAACAAAAAAGACTTCATATGGTGTGAAGTATTATATATAATAATTATGTCCTATTGTAATGGAATTATTTTATTTTACGTATCTCAACATTGAGACCAGAGTTGAGGGACATTAACTAAAGTGACGTTTAGACCTAGAAGATGCTTTATAAAATGACATAATTTACTTATAATTTTTTATGTCAAGATGTGTAATAACACTTAGTATATATTTATCAAGCATATTTTAAACATTTTAATTTAAATTTAAACTTTTAGTGCTGGGATTTAAAAAACACCCAGTTACAAGATTGATTTGTTAATCATGGATGAAGTTATCTCGAGTAACAGCGAGTTCATATTTTAAAATAAAAGTAACACAAGCACAGATGGTGATGCTGTGAGATTTCAAAGTTTAGTGAAGCAAATTTAAAAAGTTTTGAGCATTCATTAGCATCATGTCCCCTTCTGCTTGCTGTTTGCTGCGGCTGATGAATAGAATCAGAGAACAGAGCGTTAATTATGTCTGAGTTAATTTGATGAACTTAAATATGGTAAACAGCCCTCTTCCATCGCCTCTCATTTGTCTGCATTAATAACTACAAAAACCTCTCATTCCCCTTTCGCACACTCTGCTACTATTTCTCTCTATCGCTCTGAAGAAAAATTATTTTTGCCGGGCAATTAACAAACGACTTTCCTTCAGTTTGATAAGTTGCGGTTGTTTACATGAAGTAAAAAATTAATTCAATTAGGAGGAAAATAGAGTAACTTTGTCTGTTTTCACATTTTTCTTCTCTGTTAATGATTTCTCAAGACTGAGATTTCAGCCAGCCCTACCATGCTCATCCCTCCTTTTATCCCCCCCTTTCATCCTTCCTTCCTTCCTAACCTTTTTCAACTCACTTCCCTGTTTTCTCTCTTCTATCCTCATTTTTATTCACGGCCGTGATGCTAGCCAGTGTTGGGTAAGTTACTGAAAAAAAATTAGGAATTACAGTTATGTGTTACTTCTCTCATAAGTTATTAAATTACTACCAATTACTGCACATACAAGTCATTTGTTACTAGGGAAAATAATTTTTGCATTACTTTTAAATGTCTGCTTCAATTCTCTCTTTTCAGGTAAGCCAAAAGTAATCACTAATGAGCCCATTTACATTTCAGTAATTGTAATTGTGTGATTTAGTTTGAAAATGTAATTAGTTGAAAGTAGTGGAATTTACTCCGTAAGTAGGCTATTACCACTGTTGGGATCAACCATCAACATATATAAAGATGGATGATAGAACAACTTTCCATAAGTGAAGCCAAAACATATTGAAAACCCCCGCCCCCTGGTGGCTGACTGCAGTATAAATAAAGTCCGCTGCCTCCATGCTAGCAGAAGAGCCAAACTAAAAGAAAGTACACATCAAATACATTTTTCCCAAAGATGGTTTCTGTCATTTTAGGTAGTTCTTATCACGCTGATGTTTGTTCCAGTGTTCATTTTTCTGATCAGTTTGGTTTAACTGAAAGGGGGTTTCACGTCATGATTGACAGCTGAGCCCTGCTCACGATCAAATCAGCCGGGCATATGGGCGGGACCGTGATACCATGGCACCGACCCTGATCACCACTTCTTAATTTTTGTACAGTGGGAGGAAGTGGAGACACAACGTCCATCTTTTATACGTCGATTGGACTAATGCGTTAACGCATTATGCCCAACACAGGTAATACCTGCTTGACCTGTTTACTAATATCTTCTGAACCAGAATTATAGACTTAGAGATTCTTTTCCCCTGTGTTTCTTAGATAGTTTGCGATACAACAAAGGTCGCTGGCTGAAATTGAATCAGCAAAGTTGCAGTTACATGGCATGCAAGGTGGCAAGGCTTCTTCACCAAATTTAGTGGTTCCCAACCCTTTCTGTCTGACAGGATCATTGAATTGTCAACACCAAACATGTTCCAAATGTGTTGACCTGATTTTATTCTGACATTGTTGACTTGAATTAGAAGTGATCTCAATCAAGAATCTGAAGCTTTTTTTTTTAACAATAAGTATGATTATAGACAACATGATGGGGAAAAGACTTAGAAGATGACTGGAGATTGAAGGATATAGATGATTTATGGATGGCTGAAAAATCAGAAGTAGAGATGACTGGAGGATGAGACAGATGACTTAAAATTCACACACACAGACACACACAAGTGTGGGGGGGAAAGCCTACCTTGATCATTAGCCATCTTATCTGGATGTTCCACTGAAAGAGCAACAGAGAGAGAGTCAGCAAACTTATAAAATATAAAACAAAGGAATTCATTTAGAGTGGTCTTGATCTTCAGTCAGACACACACACAAACACACACATACACACTCTGACAGACCTTTGGCGGTCCTGAAGTGGACGGGCTCAGACAGTGGGCCGACTCCTTTGGCATTCTTGGCTTGAATCCTGAAGTAATAGACTGTGTCGAGGTTCAAATCCACCACCTGATGGGTCAGCCGGTCGCCGCTGATCGCCTCCATCACCCAATCATCTATCGGCATGTTCTTATCCAGTGTGTAGTAGAGGATGTAACCTGTCAGACAGGACATTATAAGATTAATAACATTTTCAAAAAAGGTGATATTAGACTTAAATATTAACAGGTTAAGTACAACTTTGCACAATACCTCGAAACATTGCACATGTACCATTCATGTTATCCATCCAGATCATATTACACTTTATTGTATATAGTGATTATATTTTATTGTATTTTTATCCTTTTCTACTCTTAGCACTGCATTCGCCAAATTTGAATTTTCCCTACAAGGACCAATAAAGGAACATCTTATCTTATTTATATCCAGAGTGCAGTACAGATCTTCAGACAGACTAAATGTATAACAGTTAGCATTAGTATGTTCTTATGCAGTTTGTAATATAATATAATACCCAAGATATCCATATTAATAAAAGATGTTGAATTTAGGATCAAAGACACCTCATATTTCCATTGTAATATAAGACTAGAGAAAGTGGAAGACTAATATTTGAACAGGTTGAACAAAGTTAGATTAAAGGATGAGGACAGACAGATATTTAGTTGTATTGTGTGAGATATGAAATTTGAGAAAACCCTTTTAGGGACTTAAATAAAACAGTATAATCTTTTTCTGAGAATGATATGTGTGTGTGTGTGTGTGTGTGTGCATGCGTGTTGTGCTGTTATCCCTGCAGGGAGTGTTTGATTTGTCCTCCAGGATGCTGGTGGAGCAGTGGAGCTCGTTAAAACAGACGGGTTTACAGCTGGGTCGAACGCCCGGAGGAAGAGAGAGAGAACAATGGAAGTGTGTGTGTGTGTGTGTGTGTGTGTGTTTGGATACACACAGACAACAACAACCAAATTCTTGTACTCTGAACAGTGTGTTGATGTTAGAAAATAATGTTTGGTCTACTTTTAGAAATTGTACAGACTAAATGATTCATCTATTATTTGAAAACATAATTAGCAGGTTAATTGAAAATCCAAATAACTATGACCTCTGACACACATTGTGTGTTTGCTGTAACTGAACAGTGAATGTGTACCCTGGATGGCTGTGGTGAACTATGTGTTTGGGTTAATTCTCACCTGTGATTCGTCCGTTAGCCTCCATCGGTGGTTGCCAGCTGATTAAAATGGCGCGGGGTCGTCCCTCGCGACTGATCACAGTCAAATCTTTGGGGGCGGAGCTAGGAGCTGTCAGTTATTGATAGACAGGAAGAAGAAGAGAAAATAAAGTTATTGTCAGTACTGGTAGGATGATAATGTGTGATTAGCCTAAATTTCAATCATTGGATAAAAAAACAGCACCTCAGTTAAAAAAAAAGTTTCATGTTCAGACTTTTCAGTTTAACTGGAAGTCAATTGTAGACTGTAGATTTAAGCACATACTGTCGGCCTGCGTTTGTCACCGGAGTCTATGACAGTAATAGGGAATGGTAAATGGTAAATGTACCTGTACTTGTATAGCGCCTTTCTAGTCTTCCGACCACTCAAAGCACTTTTGACACACATTCACACAGC